ACAGGCTCTCAACTCTCTCCTTATCCGCCCCGAATAAGAGTGTTGCTTCCTTGCAGGTTGTATAGTGTGCTTGTGCACTCTGCTACCGCAGGGACGTGTGCCATAGAAACTGACCCTGCTTGTAGGAAAGCATGTAGTGCCTTGCCATATTTCTAAGCTGATGTAAAGGAGAGAGGCAGCCGAATGAAGAAATTTGGAAGACCCAACTACTACTGGTGCTGTACCATTCTTGTCTGGGAATTTCTGCCTTCCTTTTATTTATTTTACATGTGGTGTTGCACTGAAAACAACCTAAACTCACAGGAACGGTGAAAGATTCAATTGATGTCGTGATGTGTCCCAAACAGTGGTTTCCGTGATTTTCCTCTCTTTTCTACTTAATTCTGTGATTCTTCCTTTGGATTTTCCACCCGTATCCAAAAGGTGGAGGGGGTAAAAAGCCTTATTTATCAGGAAGAAATACCTTCAAGAATCTGCTTTGTGGGGTGAGATTGTGAAGATGAAGATTGCATTGCAGTGAGAATTCTTTGCTCAGAGCACTAAATGTACTTTCTTTGTGAAGAGACAGGGGAAGAGACTCCTGCTTTTTGTAGAAGTTCATTCCAGATCTGTCCCTGCTGTTTTCCATGTGCAGTGGTGGGAGACTTTGCTGCTGAAGATGTCATGTTTCTCATACACTGTGAAAACAAACGTCCTGACTGTTCATAACACAAACGTGGAGAAAGTTGGGTTGTTTTAAAGGGTGCTTTTTACAAGATACAGATGCAGGCTTTAATATCCCGTGCTGCCTGTAATGAATTATTCCATTCTGCTAGCCTCTTGTCATTTTGATTATTTTACTCCATATCTTGGTCATATCCAAACTTCAGAAAAAATTATTTAACCATAAAGGAAAATTCTTAATCTTTGACATTTTAATAGGTTTTTTTTCCAGGTATTTTCCATGTATGTTTAGATATGTGTAGATAATCAAAGAAGAAAAGGTCAAGATAACGTACCACCAGAATTGACAAACATGCTTCTTTTTTTTTTCCCTTTTCTTTCTGTTTGTGTTTTCCCTGAGTTTAGATATGCAAGAGAAGATTGTCATGTTAAATTAAGACTCATTTTTAAGAAATATGTTCTTTAGCAGGGTTTTATTAAGACATTTTACAAAGCTCAGGCGTACTTAATATTTCTATTTAAAAAAATATACAGAACCAGAAACCAGGGTTTTCCTTATAGTTCTGAACTATTTTTGTTGATGCCTCAGAAAATGGGAGCAGCTTCTCTGCTTGCCTAGCTTACAGAGGGACTCGTATGGAACTGTGAGATTAGCCACTATCAGACAGACCCTTCGTTAGAAAACTTTGCCCCATGTGGAACCACAGCACAATTGGATACCATGGATTAGTTAGGTGCTCTTGGATCTCTGGAGTGTTCAAAGTGCCTTGAAAGTTGTGGTGGCTTTTTTCATAGCTGGTATGTTAGCATGGAGTGTCAGGAGCACCAGGCCTTTATGAGCAGACTACCTTGTAGGGTCATCAAGGTGCCTTGATCACAGGGTCCATACTGAAGTTTTCTTAGGGTTGCTCTTAAAACAGCCAGGTGTCTTGGCAGTGTTCTTTCCAGTGCTTTGCCTGACACTAAAGAAGATCTAATGCTGTGAAGTAATGAGAACTTTGCTGGTTTTGGTGGGACCATATCTTTCAGGCACTCTGCTGAATATTCATGACTATCTAGCCTAAAGGAAGGCTGAACTTTTCAGTCAGTTAAATACATGTGTAAAACCCCCAAAATCCATTAGATTCAAATGTACAAAGATTCTAACCAATATTTTGAAATCCAGATTATTCACTGACAACTGTCATTGTACTGAAAACTTACTTGCTAGTGAACACTTATTATGGCAATATTTATCTAACAATAAAAAGTTACCACTTTTTCAATACTTTTTTTTTTTCTTCTTTTATTTTAGGTACTATGATTCTTCAGATTTGAGGAGCAGCACTTTCTCTAAATGGGATGACAATTCAGATTCTTTTTGGAAGAAAGAAAATAGCAGAGATGTTGATATAATGTTAACTTCAAAAAGTACAGGATTTTCAGACAGGTATACCAAGAAAACATAACTGATTTTTGTACAGAAAACCTGAGTTTATTAATGTGATTTGAGTCCTGGTCATAGTAGTGGGATATTTTTTCAGTCTAAAAGGAGAATTTGGCCATACCATTCATCAGCAGTCAAGGGACTTCCTGGCTGAATTTATTTCGTAAGCTGAATTTCCCATTTACATTTTAAGCGCTTGTCTGTTTTGCTCAGTGCTGTACAGTATATGTACTGGAGGTAATTTCCAAAGCATTTCAGCAAAAAAAAGAAGTAGACAAAAGTTGTGGAGAGAAACTCAAATATTTGCACTGTTCTGAGAGTATACTTGCTTTGTTTATTGCCTAATGAACCCAAGAGAACACCGTTACCACATGAATGAAATGGTAGGGTACTCAGGTTTCAAGATGAACGTATTGAAGATACTTGCAAACAACAGGTCTAATTGTTGTAATGATAAAAAATTAATGTATTTCTTCTTTGACAGCTGTGTTTTTATCTTTGTAATCGAGTGGAAAATGTAAGAATGTGGGGTTTGTGTGCTTGGTTGGTGTTTTCTGCTTCTGTTCTTCTTTCTTAAAACTGTATTTTTAATTTACCTGTAAAATGCAGTTTGTGCACTGAAGTACAACTTTTTTTCTTTTTTCTTTTTTTCCTTTTTCCTTTCTCCTTTCTCCTTTCTCCTTTCTCCTTTCTCCTTCTTTTTTCCTTTTTTCCTTTTTTCCTTTTTTCCTTTTTTCCTTTTTTCCTTTTTTCCTTTTTTCCTTTTTTCCTTTTTTCCTTTTTTCCTTTTTTCCTTTTTTCCTTTTTTCCTTTTTTCCTTTTTTCCTTTTTTCCTTTTTTCCTTTTTTCCTTTTTTCCTTTTTTCCTTTTTTCCTTTTTTCCTTTTTTCCTTTTTTCCTTTTTTCCTTTTTTCCTTTTTTCCTTTTTTCCTTTTTTCCTTTTTTCCTTTTTTCCTTTTTTCCTTTTTTCCTTTTTTCCTTTTTTCCTTTTTTCCTTTTTTCCTTTTTTCCTTTTTTCCTTTTTTCCTTTTTTCCTTTTTTCCTTTTTTCCTTTTTTCCTTTTTTCCTTTTTTCCTTTTTTCCTTTTTTCCTTTTTTCCTTTTTTCCTTTTTTCCTTTTTTCCTTTTTTCCTTTTTTCCTTTTTTCCTTTTTTCCTTTTTTCCTTTTTTCCTTTTTTCCTTTTTTCCTTTTTTCCTTTTTTCCTTTTTTCCTTTTTTCCTTTTTTTTCCTTTTTTCCTTTTCCTTTTTTCCTTTTTTCCTTTTTTTCTAAAAAACAAGCATGTTCTGTTGATTCCTAAGGAGTGGACCAGTGATGCATATTACACAAAATAGGGGTTCATGTCTGTAACACCGTTACTTCCTTATTTGAGTACATTTACTTAATGCAAATGAGGTGTAATACAGTGACAGTTCAAAGGATGTTGAACCTTTTTGTGCTATTACATTTAAATTTGAATTCCACTGACATTGTGTTTTAGTTTTTTTGAGGTTTTGTAGCAATATTCTGTCCTTGTTGACGTAATTTAGCTTGCTTTTTAAATGAACTCTGAAAATAAAGATAGAAGATTAATGAATTGGAAATACTACATGTTCACCATTTTGTAAAACTAACACTGAGATTTTATTTGTTGCTATATCAACTTAGTTATCTGAATTTTTTATCCTGGGTTGATACCGATTTAATTTTTATTTTAAAAAAATCACTATTATACTCTTAGGCTTCACAAAGCAAAGATGTTGGTGCTTCTGGTTTGATTTATTGCATTCTACCATGATATAAATAGAAGTTACACTCGCTAATGCAGTTTATTTTTCTTTTAGGCCTACATCTCGTCGTAAACCTGAATATGAACCATCTTTAAACACAGATGAGGCACAAAAAAAATTTGGCAACGTAAAAGCAATTTCATCAGACATGTATTTTGGAAGGCAAGATCATGCTGATGTAAGTAGAAAGCAGTGATAAATATTTTTTACCTTTAAAATACTCTTCAACTATAAACATGGTGTTCTTCTATAAAGAGAAGGCAATAAACAGTTAAAATTGGTAGAATTAGTTATAGAATTATGTCCATTTGAATATTTGTTGGATAGAAATGTACAAGTGTCTGATAACTCTGATAGTTTAGTATTTAATTTTGAGGAGTTGCAGCTGCAAGTAGCACCTTACCTCCAACGTC